CCAAAATTAACGGTTATTGGCATGAGTTGTTGCAGCGAATATCTCCTACTAATGGGCAATATCTTAAAACCCTTAACAGCAGTTACAATGCAATAGCCCTGGGCTGTTATAACTGTATAAACCTGATTTAAAATCATTCTTTCAATTTAACACTAGAGGAGAAAAAGAACCATATATTTTAAGAACAAAAAACAATAAATTATATAAAGGTAAAAGCGACAGCTTAGAATACCCTCCCCCAACTCCATGGCCGAGACCCACCAAGCCAAGAGCTTCTCTTGAAATTAGCATATAACATCATCATCAAATAGGAGAGAAGCTTAAGAGAATAATTTCCTAAAAATACAGAAACCAATGAAGAGAGTAACCAGTGAAGCAACCATTCCAAGCCTTAAAGCCAATAATTTAATGCTTTAACTAGCATTCGAGCTTGCACCCGCAACTGGTCTCAACATAGCATGAGAGAGAGAGGGGTTCTGAGGGGTGGAAGTAGGTGCTGATGATGGGGAGGCTGAAGGGTGTATTGCAGATAGAGGCATGCGGGGCCCGATGGTGCCTGGTCCAAAACCAAACATTTGCTGACGAGGCATGAAAGACATGGTTTGATGGCTCACTTGTTGATTATAGGAAGGCATGAGATTTTGTTGTGAAGTCGAAGTTGTCATCACAATAGGCCTGTTGTTATTAGTTGAGGTGGTCGTTGAATCGGGTGTGGAGAAGCGGCTTGATACAATGCGATCGCGTTCTGATGCAATCCTTTGCCTGTGTCTCTCTGTTTGCTCGCACTCCCTCATGAGCAAGGCCTCTGTCTCTGCAATTTGCTTCAATTTTAGCTCAACTTTCCTTAGCTGCATTGATAGCACGATAGATTTAGTTACGAAGGCCATGGGATCCTTTACAAAACAGACAAAAAAGCATGAAAGACGTACACAAGTTCAAGACCAGAAATCAATTGGAAGGCACTAATTGTTGAAACCATGTGGTTGAGAACTCAAGCCCATGTTATTAACCAAAAAGAAACTAGAGTAGCAGCTAATACTTTTTATTAATTTGCCAAAGTGTTGTATGGCAGCGCAAAGGAACCGGAGAAATTTAAATGACTTACAGTCTATCTTTGTAGCTGACTTGTTTTTTCTTTTTGTGCTGAGACTTTTTAACGTACCACCATAGAAAAACATAATGCCTTATGATTAACGCAACTACAACCAATATAAATAATAAACAAAGAATTGAGCCACAGAGAGGAGAAATTCAAACTCTGTTTAGTTTAAGAACATATTATCAGCTTTGGAAGTTAAACTATGCGAGAATATGTCGTATGAACAATGTTTCTAATCTAATCAAATGGAAATTCTCTTGCTACAATCCGCGCATACAATCAACACATAAGCATTTGCTAGGCTCATATTGTCCTCCACAGCCTTCAAGAAACCTGATAAATTTCACTTCGTTGAACCAGTCTTATCAGAACTGGACCAGTCACCGAAATGATGTGGGATCATGCCAACTGACAACACTAGTCTGGCCAGCTCACAGAATGGTTGGACTAGATTCATAAAAAATAAAGAAAACTAGGAAATATAGCCCAAAGATATGAAATACACAAGTAAAACAACTTTGAACAACCTTGTATGGCTGATCAACTGGTTAAATCAGGCTGTCTGACGAGCCATAACAGGTCAAGCAATGGTCTTTGACCGGTATTTTAAATCTGGTATTTTCATTGGACCAGAGTACCAAATGGGCCAAGGCAATGCCAGTGGTCCAATCAGGCAAACCGGCCAGTCCAGTCCAGTCCAGTCTTCACAACTGTGGTTAACAGTCGATTAAATACAGAAGGAATACTAAGCGTAGAAACTATAATTTCAGGTTATACACTTAATTTAATTTGTTAAATATGATATACATAATTTAACTTTGATTTGTTAAATATGATATGTAAATTTCTCATTTTTGTTCTCTTGGTATGTTCAAAAGTAGCTACATACACGTTTTGCAGGCTTCTAGGGATCAAATGGTAAGTTCTATAGGTCTGAGCTCCATCCAAGGTTTCAAAAAATGCTAGGCGACCAGCCTGGCGACTAGAGCCCAGATGGGCACCCAAAACCTCAGGGCGCCCTGTCGTACATAATATATATATATATATATATATATATATATATATGTGTGTGTGTGTGTGTGTGTGTGTGTGTGCTATATA